CAATTCAGGCACATAAGGCTCAGCCTGCAGAATTCCATGACCTGAATTAAACTGTCTTGTAAAAGTATCGTCTGCCATAAAGCTGTGCACAACATGACTACTCCCATCAACATAGTCAGAGTTATCAAGCACATGCGAACTGGGACACGGATTGATGCTCTACTGTGTAAGTAGTTCGATATACGGGACATACTCATTCATCATTGGCTGAAGAAACTATTGGATAGGCTCTGCTTGTATATACAAGTCAATACTATTCAGTGCTCGGTTCTCAAATACAACATCTACCATCGCCGTGACACCGTCATCATTTTTAATTTCAAATTCCATGTACTGTTGCATTTGATCCCCCAAAAATGTTGGAAAATGACAAATTAGTTATAGTCGTGATGTTGTACTGTGCAGCTGCATTATCGTGTACAACTTTGTTGACAATTCTTCATATGTTGTTCATTGTTTTAACTTTATACAATGTTGAGGATTTTTGTTGTATGATAAACAACCTTCATTGTAGATAATATTACCTCCCCAATAGCACATTACTGTGGCGCGTCTCCTCGACATTTTATACCTTCAATATACAATATACTATCAAATAATTTTCTTATTTAAATTACTGTCTTGGATAGCATGACATATTTTACTTTTCATTAGGGGCAGACCCATCATTCATTTTTTTGACTATGCAAGTTAGTTAAGATGCAGAGAGAGAGAGAGGGAGAGGATATCAGATTACATTACAGAGCGGGACATTGTACAGTTCACAATCAGTCTGAGGCAATATCATTTGACTAAGATAGTTCGTTGATTGTTTTAACATCGTTATTTAAGGTAATGCTATTGTTACCCAAGCTGTTCTCACTAGTTTCAATATTTGCCCCTGATATTTTGATTTTTTAATTGAAATTATTTGACTTATTTATTACACTATGTTAACTTTATAATTGTGCAACAAAAATTAAGGATAATATATTAAATATAAGAGAATGATAGTCTTTGGTCAATGTATAAATCAAGGTATTTGACATGTGTTTTATTGAATCCAATGTAAAACATTTATTTCCATGTGTTAGGAGATTATGGATATTTTATTAGGAAAAAAGGAACAACATTAATATAGGAATTTTAAACTCATGAATACTTTAGTCCCAATGTGAATAGTCTGCCTTTAACGGAACCGGAAAAAAATTTAGTTGAGATGCGCATAAACTAACTTGAATACCCCTGACTATTAAACTAAAAAAAAATATCATAAGTGAAAAAGACTCAATAGTTAGGTGGGCGGAGCACCATTGATGGTCCATTCCAAACAACAAAACATGTGCCAAATTATAAGAAAGGTGGTGCCATCAATTAGCTGGAATGGACCACTTTTGCACCAAAAAACACAGTAACACTTGGGGATTAGGACAGATTATATGCCTATTTTACAATTAATTATAAGTGTATATACACGAAATCCCTAATCGTTATCAAGGTTGTTTGCAAACGATTTTTATAGCACCTAGTTTTCAATGATATTGACATTTTTTGGTGTACTTAATCCATCAAATAAACTGAGCTTGCCCTTTGTCGCGATCCATACTCATCATGTTTTTATGAAAGAACAAGAAAATATAATCAGCTAAGGTTTTTGTCATGGCCGACCATATGATATATGATCTTTATAATGAAATGTATGAACTAAAGAGTAAAGTAAGAAGCTTTGGGTATGCAAAAGATTAGGTAAATAAGTAGAGTATTCAAGTGGTAGGCTCAATCATACATGACCCATGTGGTTTGATTAAGTGGGTCTCTCAAAACTATTCAGAACAATAACAAATTCAATGTACCATAATTAGGATTCCATTATCTGTTTCATTCTTGTAGCAGCAAAATGGTTTGAAATGATAGGAGTATGTTTTTAGGAGGTGAATAAGCAACATCATATTTGACTTGAGATGGCAACCTCAAATGGGCATATGATTTGTGACCTGATGCCTTCTGCTATAAGTTGAAGCATAGACTGTTTCTGGCAAATCAATGGTTTAAGAGATATAAGATATGTTCAATGGTTTAAGAGATGTAAGATATTTTCCTATCTTACACTGTTACTGGCAGCTCAAAGGAATCATCAATCTTTCCCTTTAACACTTGTAATAATGAAAATAAATCTCTCTTAACCTTTAGATGAACCACTTTATGAATTTTCAAAATTATCATCACATCAGCATTTCAACTAGAATATGAGAAGGCCAGATAGCTGAGCTACTAAAAAAATAAATTCCACTCAACAAGCAACCACTAGGATCTTGTTGGAAACCTTCTTTAACAATAATTAAATCATTCATTTTTCCACGGTGTCTGTGTAGAGGAGTTAAATATGATCAGCACCCACATCTTTAGATTAAGATATTCAGCATCAAAAGGAGCTGATACAAAGTCAATCAACGAGAAACTACCAACTAAAAACACATACTACCAAAAGTATCATATTGCACACTGCCTTAAACTAGAATGCAAGGAAGTAGAGAATAGATCTAACTCTGGACCTATAAATATCTGATCTGGAGGGGAAAAGGAAGGGTTTACTAACTTCAATTATTCAAATGAATCTCATTCCTAGTGGACATTTATGATAATCTCCATCGAGATCCAATTCGCTTGGAGTGGTCGAGTCCCAAGATGTAAAAATTAAAATGGATGTGCAAACAGTTTTAGATACCCAGTCATAGCCCAGTAGTCACATGCATAATCACTGAAGGATTTACCCACTTCACATTTTCTTCTCTCTCATGTCTTTTCAATGTTAAGTTTTACTGTTTTTACACAGCCAACTTTGTCTATTGCACAATCGAACTTACAAATTCATAAATTCAATTATTTTCTAAACCATCAAATGCAACAGACTAATGCAAAATACAAATCAAATTCAGAAACAACAAATCAATAGCTATCAAAAAACTGGAAACATGCAAACAGATATGGCTGCCTTCACACTGTCATGCAGTTGAAAAAAAATTTCTGAATAAAAATATGCCTTCACACTGTAATCTTCTAAAGTAAAGATGCAGTTCAAAGTTCAAACTACTTGCATCATTAATGGGGATTCAAAATTGAAAAAAATTGGGGATTTTTGGAATCAGACAGTAATTGGGCAATGAGGATTGAAAATTTGCACTAACACTTGGGGATTTCAAAATTCAACATTCATGTTTGATCCAAAAAGAAAAAAAAAATTCAACATTCATGGGAATTGGGCAATGGGGAAATTTTGCAGTTTCACTTGGGTTTCTTTTGAATTAGAGACTCAATTCTGCGTACCTGGTTAAATAGAAGCTTGGTGTTCATCACATGAACTGCTGTCTTCTCCTTGGTTTAGACCTAGCCCACGGGTGTGTACCACTCTACTGCTTCATTTGACAAAACTAGGGCTTAGAATGGAATCTCACAGGCGAATCTCCCACCTCAGCCGAATCTCACAGCTGAATAGCTCCAGAACTCAGTTGACTTCTTCGAAGAAGTTAGGGCTACGATTGGATTTCATCAGTAGGGTTTGTGCATTATTAGGGTTGAGCTTAGGGGTGACAAAATAATGGAAGAAAGAGGAGGACTCAGTGAAGGGAAAAACGAGAGGGCCGAAGTCTGAGCTTCCACAAGAGAGAACAGAGAAGAGAGGAGAGAGAGGCGTGAAGTTGAGGAATAATAACAGAAAGGGGGCCTTGCGTGGGTGGTTATTCAAATGAAAGCGTAATTGATAAATACGCTTTTAGTTTGAAATCGTAATTGGAACATCCGCTTTTTTTGAATAAAGTGGACTTATGAAATACACTTTCACTTTTAAAAATAAATTTCACCAGTATAGAAAATGGATTTGGTAAGTCCAATTTTAAATGAAAGCGTAATTAGTACATTCGCTTTTAAAACAACTGTATTTTGGTAAATAAGTTCAAAATGGTGGAAGATTGGTATTTAAGTTTAAATTTTGGGGTACTTTGGTAATAGATTCAAATAAAATGGATTGGCAGATTGCCAAATTAATCAAAGGTTTGGATTGGAATTGAATGGACTAATGATAGTTAGAATAAATTGGAGTAGTTCTCCTTTAAAAAGCTAAGTACCGTATCAAAATTAATTTAATTTTGAATAAATAATAACTATTAATATACCAAAAAAGTACATTTTTTTATCGCAATTATATTCATATACCAAAAAATATATATTTTTTATTGCAATTATTCGCCTTTTGACTATCACCAATAGAAAAATGTTCTTTGTACCTAATGTAAAAATTTAATTTGGGAACCTAATCGTTTACGGTTGTTGAATTGAAGGTGGGTCCCACTTAACATTGAAACTCACAATAAATTAAATCTCCAATTGTTCTCAAATTTGGTCTCCAAAACATTGTTAGTTATTATATTGCTCTTCAAAAAAATTATTTATTATGTTCATGATGCTAGTCCTAGACTGAGTGAAACAATGTCGATATTGATCTGTCATTAGACTAGTAGTCACAAGAAACCCTGGGAGTGAAATTGAAGTAATGCAACAATTGAGAGAAATCAATATAGTATCGTTAGGGCGATGAGTAAGAATTTGATACAACATTCAAGGCCCTAAGGCACCCATTCAGATGAATTGATACAATCTTTAGAAAGGTCATTACTATTAACACATAACTCTTTCAAGACTGATATTCTTTCTCTCTCTATCTCTTTTCTCATGCACGAGAAAATAACCGTCAAGTGTTGCATATATTTTTGAGTCACATGTACAATTGTGATCACTCAATCCATGGGCCAACATCTCTCACATGAGTATTCTTGAACATATTGACAGAGTTTCTAGTTGGTGTTTGTCCTTGGTACCAAATCATTATCCACACAAACTCTTATCTATAACTACACAAATATTAATGTCAAATCATGGAGATGGACCTATGTGTGCACTGTTTTTCCACACAAACTTGAATAAGGGGCCTATGAGTGGCTGGGGAGAGAATAAGAGTTTCACTATGTCTAGAGCCCTGAGGTGCTTAGGTTTTCACAGCAGCCGACATCATCGATTGTTGCGGCTGCTTGTCCTCCACCGACTTCTAGAGCTATCATTCCACAAAGAGTGGCCTGGCTAGAAGAGAGGGTGGGAGGCCTAGAGTCTGACATTGTTGAAATGAGGGAGATACAAATGAGGATGGTTGGGGACTTGGAGTTTTCTTTGGGAATACAACACCGTTTGTTTGAGATTCTTGGCCCCAGAGATGTACTACCAGGAATTTTTGTGACGCCCCTAAAATCGGGTGTGACACCCCAAAATCCGAGGGTCCCGTTGGTCGCCTATCAACCCGCGAAATGCTTGTGGATATCGTATAAGTCGATACCACACCGTTGTGTCCCATTTATCGGAATTCATAATTTAACAAAATTGGGTAGAGTCTCCTTTGTACGGGGAAACTCTACCCAAAACACAACCTGTGCACCGTACCATCACATGACCCATCCGAGGTCTCATATACAAATATTGACCACACTGGGTCCATTTATAAGAAAACATTGACCACACCGGGTCCAATTATCCATACTTTTACATCATGAGTTTATGCATTAAACATAGTTAATATGAGTTCAAAATTATAATTCTTTTACAAATATTACATGCCAATACATAGTTTGAACAAAAGTTTACAAAACAGTCATGGTTAAAGGCCACGTGTCGGCCCCAATTCACCCTTGAGGCCCCGAATGAGAGTCCTCTGCCGATACGCACCCTGCACCTGAAATGTTTCCTATATAGGGTGAGCCAACGCTTAGTAGAAAAACTCCTACAGAGGCTACTCCCCACCTAAAATGCGTATGCAATGCGCACATGCCACAAACAACTTCTTCCATTCCAAATAAGAATATGTTATTCAAGATAGAATCTTATGATGCCATGCCAAGTAATGAGATGAAACTCACTCATGCATGCTATCCCGAGCCCACACTGACTCCCACAACACAATGCAAGGCATATGTGTAAAACAAATGTCTTTGATGAAACACATCCAAAGATCATTTTAAAATCAACCATATGTCATAAAACCAATTCATTCTTGGATGTTTTCCCATCAAATGAATAATTTATATATTAAAATCATGTGCCTTTATTGGGTATCGAATTCAGGAATCGTACCTCCGGCTCCGTACGCCGTTACACTTTTCTAAAATTTCATCGCCGGTAAGTGTATGAACCAAGTGGCTAGATTTTTCACTTGAGGGAGTGTCTAGCTCTACTTGCTATACCCGATACAAGTTTTCTTATGAATGTAACCGTGCGACTCAATAGGATGTTCCATCCTACTTTTCCGAGCCCACCACCAACCACCAAGGATGATGATTGATCAACCATGCAACCACACACCCATGCTCATGGTTATGAATGTGTTTACCTCGTGCATATGCAATGTAATGCATCATTGCAAACTACTACCATGTTCAATATGTAATGAATTTCATATGAACAATTTCAACATATCCCATGATCAATTATATCCAAATATATAAATTCCATGATCATCATAATGCTAACATATCATTAAGCATACATTAACATAACATTACAATTGTAAATCACATCATAAGCATGTAATTTCGTTTTACCACATTTTTCAAGCATGTTATTTCATCAAACAACAACTTCAATCATTCAAGGTATTTTGTCAAACATCTTCAAGGCACCAATCGTGTAATCACATAATTCACTTATATTCATCGTATAACTCAAGAAATCATGTTAAGTGATTTCTACAATTGACCACCCGTCAACCCATAGAAAGATCCATGAATGTTACACAAACCAACATCACATCAATAATATCCCTTTTGTCCGGGATTTTAACTCACACGTGTAACCCATGATCCTTTAATCATTTAATCCAATCAAGGTATAACACACCTCGCTATATATATCATTTGAAACCAAAGAATACATAATGATGAGTGCAAAATATTGCATATTTGAAGGCCTCATTACATGCATTTTAACTCAACTTTTGCATGTAAGTACTTAGAGTGAGCCAAAATTATGAATAATGTTGATATTTGGATGTTGCAAGTATTTATAGCATAAATCAAGTATTTTAGAACCTTG